GGGAGGGGGTTAAGGCATGTGGGAGGAAGGGGAGGGAGTGAGGATGCAGCCGAACTTGGAGAAGGCCATGGCTGGGCCCCAGCGATGGACTCGTGGGAAGAGAATGTCCTTTCAACAACCACAAGGGATCAAATGAGGGAGTACTCCAGCAAGGCCGATAGGGAAACATGATGCAGAAGTCAGAATTAAGAAGGAATTATGGTTTAGAAGACACAGAACAGGTAGAACTTAAAAGTCAGACGTAAGGAGAGGTTTGCCATTGTGGTCATGCGATTCTGAGCAGGTGGCAGGCGGAGCATGGTGCCTTTCAGAGAGTGTTGGGGAGGATTTGCTCCCTGAGGTCGCCGGCATTTGTGCTGGTCTGTGTGCGCTCCAGCAGCCTCTCCCTCCTGCTTACACAGCCAAGGATAAGAATGTCACCGATCTTAGGAGGATCATTGTGACACCAAGGGTGGATAGTATCTAGGAGAGTGGTTCCATCAAATCCTACACCTCCGTAGTTCATGAGCCACGTTTCCCCAGGAAGCTAATGCAGGGCAGATTATAAGGAGGCAGTTTTCCCAGTCCGTGAATCCTTTCCTTGGAATGTCTCCCAGCTCTTCCCTCTTCCTCTTGTTTGCAGTCCTTTGGTAGGACAGTTCATGTCTTTTCCACGAAGCCATAAAGTCACAACTTTTTGTGCTCTTGTGACATGCCTGTACGTCACAGACCCCACTATGATTCCTACTCGTCACAAGTACTGTGCCCATGAGGGCTCATGGTGGGCCTCACTTTGGTCAGCATCCACATGATCCTGGGTGTGCATTTGTCAGTACCCTTTTCTAGTGGAACTAGTCTTCTCCCACTCTCTGACCTTTTGCCTGTCTATGTCAACATCCTTTTGTTGCTGTTAGTTAGGCTATAAAATAGAACAGATTTTGCTTTAGTTTTCTGGCATCATCCTCTGAGATGATGATGCCTTCTCTTGACTCATTCAGCTTGTGTCAATCACTTCCTCCTTAAGAATTAGGCTCAGTCCCTCAGGGATGGGCCAGGGAGACACCTTAGTGATCAACTTAAGGTTTTTGCACACAAGGCTTTCTATTCCTTGGGCAAAGGTTTATCAGGCAAATGCAAAGGCAAGTAAGACATTCTGAGGAGTGAGAACTACAAAAGGAAATATTGTGTGGGTAATTTTTATGATGTGGGCATTTTATATCAGAAGGAATGCAGAAAGGGCTAGAAAACTTCTCAGAGGCAGCACTCATTAGAGAGTGAGGGTTACAGTGTCAGCATCCAGAAACTGGATATTCTTTCTAATCAGAGCTGCTCAGATCGCTGGTGATGAGCTGATGTGATAACTACAACTGCTGGAGACTAGGTGTAAAATAACACCACCACCCATAGTCAGGATATTGAAATGTTGGCCACCCCCCCCCTCCAGTTTCCTTTTGTAGTAAACCCTCAAAAAAAAAAAAAAAATACTTAACAAGGAGGATAAAAGTGAACAGGGATAGAAGAAACGAAATCTTGATAATTATTGAAGCTAAATGAAGACTATGTGATTATATTATAGACTATGTGACTATGTCATTATATTTTTTTCTCTGCATTTGTTTCAGTGTTTTTTTTTAAAGAAAGGATACAACTCCGTGTTTATCTTAAATCAGTTAATTCACGTGTGTGATGGATTTTTTTACCAGCATGGCTGCAGTTACTCTCCTCCATGTCTCTCAACTGAGAATGTATAAACAACCGCGGTACATCCATGCAATGGAATATTCCTTGGCAATAAAAAGGAATAACTACTGACATACTCAACAACATGGATGAATTTTAAATGCATATTGCTGAGTGAAAGGAGCCCAGACTCAAAAGGCTACATGCCGCATGATTCCATTTATATGGCATTCTAGAAAAGGCAAAACTACAGGGCTGGAGAAGAAATAGGTGGTTGTCAGGGGTTAATGGTTGTGGGAGGGGTTTACTACAAAAAGGAAACTGGGGGGGGGTGGCAACATTTCAATATCCTGACTATGGTGGTGGTGTTATTTTACACCTAGTCTCCAGCAGTTGTAGTTATTATCAGCTCATCACCAGAGATCTGAGCAGCTCTGCATTAGAAAGAATATCCAGTTTCTGGATGCTGACACTGTAACCCTCACTCTCTAATGAGGTGCTGCCTCTGAGAAGTTTTCTAGCCCTTTACTGCATTCCTTCTGATATAGATGCCCCACATCATAAAAATTACCCACACAATATTTCTTTTTCTTTAGAACTTTTGTAGTTCTCACTCCTCGGAATGTCTTACTTGCCCTTGCATTTGCCTGATAAACCTTTGCCCAAGGAATAGAGAGCTTTGTGCACAGAACCTTAAGTTGTCACTAAGGTGTATCCTGGCCCATCCCCGAGGGACTTGAGCCTAATTCTTAAGGAGGAAGTGATTGACACAAGCTGAATGAGTCAAGAGAAGGCATCATCATCTCAGAGGATGATGCCAGAAAACTAAAGCAAAATTTGCTCTATTTTATAGCCTAATAACAGCAACAAAAAGGATGTTGACATAGACCGGCAAAGGTCAGAGAGTGGGAGAGACTAGTTCCACACTAGAAAAGGTACTGACAAATGCACGCCCAGGATCATGTGGATGCTGACCAAAGTGAGGCCACCATGGGCCCTCATGGGCACAGTAGCTGTGACGAGTAGAATCATAGGTGGGTCTGTGACGTACAGAGCATGTCACAAGAGCACAAAAGTGTGACTTTATTGGCTTCGTGGAAGACATGTAAGGTGTCCTAGGATCTTGCAACAAGAGAAGAGGAAGAGCTGGGAGACATTCAAGGAAAGGATTCCACGGCTGGGAAAACTGCCTCTTAATCCTGCCCTGCATTAGCTTCCTGGGGAACGTGGCTTCATGACTACGGAGGTGTAGGATTTGATGGACACTCTCCTAGATACTATCACCCTTGGTGTCACAATGATCCTCTAAGATCGGGACATTCTTATCCTTGCTGTGTAAGCAGGGGAAGAGAGGCTGCTGACCACACAGACAGCACCAAATGCCGGCAGCTCAGGGAGCAAATCCTCCCCACACTCTCTGAAAGGCACCATGCTCCGCCTGCACCTGCTCAGAATCCATGACCCACAATGCAAACCTCTCTTACCGTCTGACTTTAAGTTTACTGTTCTGTGTCTTCTCCCATAATTCTTCTTAATTCTGACTTTCTGCATCATGTGTTCCCTATCGCCTTCTGGAGTCCCTCATTTGATCCCTATGTTGTTGAAAGGACATTCTCTTCACGTCCATGCTGGGGCAGCATGGCCTTCTCCTAGTTCTGCATCTCACTCCCTCTTCCCCCACATGCTTAACCCCCTCCACCTTTGGTCCCCTAACCCCATCGCTGTGCTGAAGAGCCCCTGGCCCCTGCTGTTCTGCTTCACTCACTGAGGACGTGGGCACCTGAACCATGGTCTTCCGGTCAAGGCCTGTCTTACCACTGGGAACCTCTAATGCTCATGTCTTGAGCCCCTCAAACACCCTAGGCTCGTAAAACTTATTCTCTGAACTTGGTGTTGTCTTCACCACCCCTCAGTAGCCACCATTCCTGTGACCACGCTCTGCACCAAGGATGCACTCAACAACATGGTGAATTTCAAATGCATATTGCTGAGTGAAAGGAGCCCAGACTCAAAAGGCTACATGCTGCATGATTCCATTTATATGGAATTCTAGAAAAGGCAAAACCACAGGGCTGGAGAAGAGATAGGTGGTTGTCAGGGGTTAATGCTTGTGGGAGGGGTTTGCTGCAAAAAGGGAACTTTGAGGGGGCATGGGAACATTTCAATATCCTGTGCAAATGCCTGCATCCTGAGACACTTGCACATTGGTCATGTCATTTTCCCCTTGACCTGGATAGGGCATTAGAACATTCCCAACATGGTGCAAGATGAGTGGATGTTATCCATGCTCCTACACTAGACCATTGCCCAGAACTGCACTATGCCTGCAATCTTAAACTCCCATAAGCTATTCTCTCACTCTCATAACCACCTGCTCTTTGAATTCCCTGAGAACTACATCACTCCAGCTACCTCTCCCTTGGATACTTGGCATCCTAGTAGCCTTGCCCTTTCCCTGCGACTATCCCCAACATCCCAAACCCAGGATCAAACCAACCATCCTTTTCCTCTGTTACTTTCTGGTTTTGCCTAGTACAGCTGGGAAGGATTTATACCACCATGTCAAAACAAAGACATGATCTCTAGCATCAAATGGTCCTTCAGTACCATTTAAAAATCTTTTTTTTTATATATTTTATTTATTTATTTATTTGAGACAGAGTCTCGCTTCATTGCTCAGGCTAGAGTGAGTGCTGTGGTGTCAGCCTAGCTCACAGCAACCTCAATCTCCTGGGCTCAAGCGATCCTCCTGCCTCAGCCTCCCGAGTAGCTGGGACTACAGGCATGTGCCACCATGCCCGGCTAATTTTTTCTATATATATTAGTTGGCCAATTAATTTCTTTCTATTTATAGTAGAGACGGAGTCTCGCTCTTGCTCAGGCTGGTTTCGAACTCCTGACCTCAAACAATCCACTTGCCTTGGCCTCCCAGAGTGCTAGGATTACAGGGGTGAGCCACTGCGCCCGGCCTAAAAATCTTCTTATCGTCATATTTTCTGCCTGTCTGGTACGTTATAAATACCCTTCTGATATTTAGAAAATTTGAAACTTTGCCTCCACCTTTTTCTGGTCTCCTGTACAACTAAATCACAGGCCTGTGAGCTAGGTGCTCCCAGATAAACTCGACCATGCAAGACCTTGGTTTGGAAATCAGCAATGAAAAGAAACAAGCTGTCCCTGAGGCTCGGTTGGACTGCTGAGGGCAGTAGCAGTAGCCTCCAGCTGTGGGAGTGCCAGAGGCTACAAGGTTGAGGGGACACAAGTCCTTTCCACTATGAAAGGCAGACACATGGGGGAATTGGCAGAACAGGTCCCATATTGTACTGCAGTAAGCTCCTTGATTGTCCATCATTTATTTTTACAACCTCTGTCCTTTGGTACTCGGCTCACAGTAGGTGCTTAATAAATTTATGGCGTGAATGATTTGCCCAAGGTCCCTCAATGAGTGGAGGAGCCAGATGTCAAACTCATGTCTTCTGACTTTAAAGCCAAATCTTTCCCAGATGTAATTAGCAGAGCTATTTCCCGTGTCTGACTCCTGCCATTAGGCCTGGGATAAATAGCGATGGTTGCTTGCAATAAATTCCTCACACTCTCTGGCTTTCCTGCGCCTGGCTCAGCAGCAGACATAGTGGGACCATTTGCAGAGGTCATAGGGAATTCTATATTTGCTAAAAAGGATGATTCACTGCGCCCTGTAAAAGGAATAGCTGAACTTGTGTTCCTGGAAGAGAGTCGACCTTGAGGAGACCGTGAGCAGGCACTGCGGGAAGTCTGGATGTTGAAAAATGATGAGGGGCTTGGAGGCCTTCCAAATGCCAGAGAAAGTTGCAGAAAAAGGTTTAGGGTTAAAGGAAAACAGTTTTCTCCCATCCTTAAGGGAGAAAATAACAACAGCTTGAAATGAATACAACTCTTCAGTTATTTCAAGTCTTTTTATAGTACTGTTCCTCAAGGCTTTCTACAAATGTCGCACTGTGAAGCATTTAGCAGAGATGATGCTCTGGGTTGGTCTGCCCATTTCTGTTTTCTTCTAGTACATTAACATTGCAATTCGCAGGCTCTGCCCCTTAGTGTCACATGACTTGTTCTAGCCAATGGAATGTGAGTGGAAGTAATGAAACCACGTAAGGCTGGCCTCTAAAATCCCCTAGCAGACCGCCAGTCCTACTCTCTACTCTCTATGGATGAGAGTGAATATTCTGCTGTCAGGAGCCACATGGTGGAAGGAGCAAGGATGCCTGAGTTCACCACTTAGAGAAGAGGCATCCTGAACAATCGCTCTGGAAATCCAGCTGACCAAACTCACTGGATGGTGATGTGTGTGAGAAATAAACCTTCTATTGTGACGTGCCATAGATATGGACTGTGTTACGGTGCCTAGCATTAATTATCCTGATTAATATAGTCCATGCAAGGAGAAAAACAACTGTGGCTGACACTATTTAAAATAAAACTTACATTAGGGTAATTCCATGTTTAACATATTTATGAAGTATTTACACTTTAAACTCCTTTTTACTTTGGGAAACTCATCCCTGTCCTGTGCCTGAATTTTTCTTCTCTTGCTATGGCTCAATTAATTCTCCCTCGCCCTTCAGGACTCAGCTTGTGTCCCTTGCCTTCGGAGAGGCTTTTTTCTAAAGTAGGCACCCCATAATTTTCTCTTATCATACCTACCTGTTCATTTCCTTTGTTAAAATTGAGATCATAAGACTGATGGAACAGACTCTCTTAGCAATAAGATGCCAAGTTATAAACAAGACTTAAAGCCACGCAAGGCAAGGGTCACCGCCCCTACGCTTAAAGAATGCACTATGTTCTAACTGCTACAAGTTTTTTTCTTTTTCTCCAGCAGCTAAACAAGCACTGGCCTCGAGATAAATAATATTAATACAATCGGAGCACACCAACAGCCAGGAACTGACTAATCCCCTCCTCCAATTCCACAAGCCATTAACTACAGCTTTGATTGACAAGAGATGGGCTTCCATAACTTTCTTCTGATGAGAGACCACTGACCATAGACTGGTTCTGGCTTGTTTACAGAAGCTACAAGGTAAGTGGCTTCTTGTACTCTCCTTCACCTTTTGACATATAGGGCCTCATTGTAATACATTTAAATGTTAGGTCTCCACCTGAAAGTAAACATGGAATATAACAGACACGTTTGCTTCCTATGCATGTGCATATCCTCCTCTCATGAAGATTCATAGCTCCTCCTATGGCCTGTTGAATATATATACTTAGCCATGCTATTCCCCATAAATTCTTGTCTCACCCTTCCTCTTTCAAAGTGCTTGTTTTTGGCTTCAACCAGAGGCTCTGCTTCTCAGTCTGCAGGTTGTAACCTTTTATCAAAAATAAGGTATCCTTTTTCTACATTTATAGATCTTGTGATTTTAAGTCAATATCTTTCATAGCACTAATTACAATTTGTAATAATACATATTTCTATGTATGTATTTCAATTCTCCACTAGGGAGTAAGGTCAGTGAGGCTGGAGGCTGTACATGGTTTGTCCTTCACTGAGGAGTCCATACTCCTCAGTTTATAGGACTCATAGTGGGAGAGATTAGTTTTATGAATGAATGAATGAATGAATTATCATCACAAGGTTTGATGATTAGCATTGCAGAGGAACAAAAATGAACACAATGAATGAATAATAGTGAAGCTTAGTCAAATATACAAAAAAGACCAGATAAAATGCAACATAGTATTTTTAAAAACTAATAGAGTAAGAAACCAACATGAAGGAGCTCCCAATGGCCAAAGGTGATATAATTAGAGCAACAAAATAAATAACATTGTTTTGGATTATGATCCAAAGCATAAAGTAAAAATCTAAGAGTTCATGCTGAAATAATAAATATTTGAAGAAATAAATAAATAGAAATGAGAGACAAAGCTCACATATAGAAGAATCCCAAATACTTTATGTAGGTATTTTCCCCTCAAGGAGAGGGAGCCTAATCCCTTACCCTTTGATTGAGCATGTGATTAGTAACTTGTTTCTGAAGAGTAGAGTAAGAAAAGAGAGCAAAAACAATAAGTTAACTGTAGAGAAACCTGGCAAAAACCTTGGCCAGGTGATCGAGGCTAATATTATCAATGATAACTCATAGTGAAAACGTGCACTCTTGAGGGAGGGGGCAGGAGCAATATTTGTTGTAACCCTAACAATATTTGTACCTCCATAATATGATGAAATAAAAAAAATAAATAAAATAATAAAAAAAAGAAAACGTGCACTCTTGATGTAACCTAATAAAAAAGGCATTTTACCTCTGTGGTCTTCCTCCCAAAGACACATGACCCAAGTCTAATGATACGGAAAACATTAGACTAACCCATCTGGGGTATTATGAGGGGCATTCTACTCCTCAAAGGTCATCAAAAACAAGGAAATTCTGAGAAACTGTCATAGCCAACAGGAGCCTGGATTAGGGTTTTCCAGAGAAACAAAATATGTATGTATGTGTATACACATATGTATGATTTATTATAAAGAACACGCTCATGGGATTACAAAGGCTGGCAAGTTCGAAATCTGCAGAGCTGTCGTCCCAGTTTAAGACCAAAGGCCAGAAGGCTGCAGTAGAAACAGGAAGAGCCAATGTCCCAGTTTGAAGAGCATCAGACAGGAGAAATGCTCTCGTCCTTGGGGGAGGGTCCGTCTTTTTATCTATTCAAGCCTTCAACGGATTGGATAAGCCCCACCCACGTTATGTAGAGCAGTCTGCTGTACTCAGTTTTCCGGTTTAAATATTAATCTCATCCAAAAATACTCTCACAGAAACACCTACAATAATGTTCGATTAAATATCTGGGCATTCCATGGCCCAGTAAAGTTGACACATAAAATTAGCCATCTCAAAGCCTAGGGAGACATAATGAATAAATGTAATGTGATATCCTAAATCAGATCCTGGAACAGAAAAAGAACATTAGGTAAAACTAAGGAAATTCAAATAAAGTACAGACTTTAAATAATTATTATTATTATTATTATTTTTTGAGACAGAGTCTCACTCTGTTGCCCAGGCTAGAGTGCCGTGGCATCAGCCTAGATCACAGCAACCTCAAACTCCTGGGCTCAAGCAATCCTCCTGCCTCAGCCTCCCGAGTAGCTGGGACTACAGGCATGCGCCACCAAGCCCGGCTAACTTTTCCTACATATTTTTAGTTGGCCAATTAATTTCTTTCTATTTTTAGTGCTTGTTTTTGGCTTCAACCAGAGGCTCTGCTTCCCAGTCTGCAGGTTGTAACCCTTTATCAAAAATAAGGTCTCCTTTTTCTACATTTATAGATCTTGTGATTTTAAGTCAATATCTTTCATAGCACTAATTACAATTTGTAATAATATATATTTCTATGTATATATTTTTAATTCTCCACTAGGGAGTAAGGTCTATGAGGCTGGAGGCTGCGCATGGGGTAGAGACGAGTGTCTCACTCTCGCTCAAGCTGGTCTCGAACTCCTGACCCCGAGCGATCCTCCTGCCTCGGCCTCCCAGAGTGCTAGGATTATAGGCATGAGCTACTGCTCTGGGCCAATAATTATGTATTAATATTGACTTAATTGTAGCAAACACACTGTACTAATGTAAGTTGTTAATAGTAGAGGAAACTGGGTGAGGAGTCTATGGAAACTCTCTGTACTATCTTTTCAACTTTTCCACGATCTGAAACCATTCTAAAATAAAAAAGTTATTTTTTTTTTAAAAAGTCATAAAGTAGTTTGTATGGAGGAAACACCCCATCAGTTGATGAGTAGCATCAAGAGAGGCTTCATGAAGGAGATGGCATTTGAAATACTCATTTCAAATTTAGTTAAATACCAAACTATGGAAGCCCTTAAATGCTAGATTGGCAAGTATTTATGCCTGAATTTCTTTTTTTTTTAATTAATTTATTTTTATTTTAGCATATTATGGGTGTTAGAGACGGGATTCCCACAGCCTCACTGGACAGAGACAGAGTCACCGAGGATGTAATCACACAAGAGGAGCTTTATTTTCTGGCTAGCCAGGGTCCGAGCCCCAGAGCACCGGCACAGTGGTCACTCTTTCAGGCAGGGACACCGACCGGGGCAGGGGCGAGCCCTTTATTCTCACTGCACACGGGCTGATCACGCGCGGATCATGCATCTGCCCTGTACTGTGATTGGTTCCACATCTGTTCATGCGTCGGTCATGCATTCGATTCCGGCCCGATTGGGGACCGGTTGCCCGCCAACGGCAAGCAGAGATTTCTTTTGATTGGGTCCCTAATTTAGCATCTTGTTTCATCCCATGATGCTTTGATGCTTTGTTATGCGTGGCAGTGTGGCAAGCAAGCGATAAACAGAAGCGGAGGTGTGCCGTTTGCGGTTAGCCCCACCCTAAGCACAGTTCCCTGTTTGTTTTAACTTCCTGATATGGTTCCCTCATCTAATACTGATAAATGTTACTCCTATATGTCCACTTAGGTGTTGATCCAATAATACCAATTTGCTGGTGAGTACATGTGGTGCTGGTTTTTCCATTCTTGAGATACTTCACTGTGCCTGAATTTCTTAATCTGAACACTTGATATTAAACATTAGATTGGAGAAATAGTGGGAAAAGGGACCCCAATGTGAAGGATTATTGCTGAGTAAAGAGAGATTCAAATGGAGGAGGTGGCTTTGGACCCCAAGGAGTGATTTGACAGGATTTAGGAATTGCCTGGACATAATGAAGCAGGATTCAGAGGATTTTTAAAGGATTTTAATGGACTCTGCCTTGCAAGACTTGAAGGATGGGGATGATCTAAAAGAAGGTGTTGCAGACTTAAAATAAAATCGTGAGCCCCTACTGACTAAACAACCTCCTCTTAGCTAAGGGGACCTCAGAAAAACTTTAAAACTGAGTTCCTGGTCATGAAAGGAAGGGAGGTGGGTAGACACCTAATTCTACCCCATCCAGTGGGACACAACAATTAATCAGGATAAATGTTAAAACAGATTTAAAAGACTGTTCAAATGGTCTTTGTGGCAGTAAGACACTAAATTATTTACAAGACCTAAAGCCATGCAAGGGAAAGGTTAAATCATGCCTGCAGGCCATCAATTTGCTTAACAGATCACTTGAGTCAGTATATTGTGGTTTGCTCTATGATTAGAGCAATGATTAAGACTCCCTTGTCTTAAAACAGTCCTTTCCACTTAAAACAGCCTTTAGATAAAGAATCTTTGAACCCATCTGTAACTTGTAAGCCCCACTTTGACATGTCCCACCTTTTCAGGCCAAACCAATCTATACCTTCCATTGATTATTGATTTATAATTTTACCTATAATTCCTATCTCCCTAAAATGTATAAAACCAAACTATAACCCTGCCACCTCAGGCACATTTCTCAGGACCTCTTGAGACCATGTCCCTCAAACCATTGGCCACTCATATTTGGCTCAGAATAAACCTATTTAAATTGTTTTTCAGCATTTGGCTTTTTTCTGTTAACAGTGTGAAAGTTAGTTATACCAATTGGGTCATTTTTGTCATACCCAGCTAAATCAGAGTTGGGAGGTGGGGGTGGGGGAAGCACTCAGGGCACATAGCACCTGCTCTAAGAATTACATTTTCCACTCAAGCCCAGCTGCTGAAACGGCGTGCTATGATCCTAAGACCAGTTTTATTTAGTAGCTGCCGAAATGACCTGCCACGACTCTAAAACTGGCTTTACCTACCTCCATTAATCACCAGAGTGTAACAGAGAGGATGGCCTGAAAAAGGTGGGGGGGGACCCCAAAACCTGTGTTTTCTGTCTCTCACTAAAACCAGCTTCCCTGCCAGAGGCCAGCGGCTGGGGAGTGTTTGCTTTGCCATTTGCATTGCTGGAGATAGGAGGACCTGGAGGCAGTCCCCAGATCCTGCAGGCTCCAAATCTCCAGGATCTCCAAATCCTCAGGGGTGGGGGAGTCCCGGTAGATTCTGGAAATGAAAGGATCAGAACCATCGACTGTAGTTGACTGACAACAATACCTTGAATCTCTTAGAACTCTCCTCTTAAGAGGTTTGTATTTTCACTTATG